TGCTCTTCTTAGACAACACTCTGTTATCAATAAAAAAAAAAGAGTGATCAATCAAAAGAACTACTTCTCCAATAGAATCAAAATAATTTGTTTAAAGACAGGAAGTATTCAGGTGTAATTTATTATTTTTTATATGTGAAATACTACACAGAGAGTATAGGAGTGTATGGATTATATTTATATTTACACTACATGACAAAGATTCAACACCCCTTTACACATCCACCTCACCCAGAACTGTAAGATTAAGAAGAAGGACCCGAATTTGAAAGAAGTGGGATAAATAAAGTGTGAAAATAGATCTATCTATATATCTCTATATAAATATCACTGCCTAGGTATACTCAGAGATTGTCTCTGTCCTATGCCATAACTCAACCCCTGGTTCTTTCTGATGTCCACATGTGGTTTGTCTTCAGGAATCCAATATATTCCAGCAGCATAATGGATGATGTGGGGTCATGACTAATGATGCAGCCAACAGTAACTAGTGGTTTTATGGAACTGAAAGGGCAGCAGGATCTATTGTTCATAAATATAAAGCAATTCTTAAAGAGCCAAGACATTAAAAGTTGTAATTGTGTCACTACCTTTCCCTTCTCTTAAGGTAGAAGATATGAAATTAGCAAGGAAGAGGACACGTGATAGTAAAGAACACAAAGAGATAGTTCTTGGACCTGAAAATAAAGAGGTAAAGCTTCAACACTGTGAAAAATCTTCTCATGCATTGATATAGACAATAAACAATATATAAGTTCTTTTTTTCTACTCATTATTCTAAATCTTCATTGATAAATAACTATGCCTCATGTGGACCCATGGATTTTGTACTGCATTTTTAGAATCAAATTGTTTACACTAACAAGACCCTACACCAATTAAATATAATTTCCCATAACTTTCACATCTCAGGAGTGGCCCTGATGGAAACCACTGTTATGGGATTTATACTAGCCTCCAGTGAGAGAGCCAGGAATTCCCTGGAGAGTAAAATTCTTCCGAATAGTAAAGCCAGATACAAGTGTAACGTTGGCTGGTGTCCTGCTGCCATTCAACACTGTCAGAAATGAGATACTGGTGCTCAGAAGCCAGATTAAAGTTTAATTACAGACAGAGAAAGAACTGAATCTCCAATAAGTTACTTTCTTTGTAAATGAGTCCAAAGATCCCTTCATATGTGTATTGTAACCTTAGGATGAATGTATTTGGATAAAGCACAGAATGGAGCAGAGCAACTTCCTTAGCACAGTGGAGGTCCTTAAAGATTTCCATCAAATTTCAAAAGCTTAAGCAGGCTTTTCAGTGGAAGTCTAGGTATGTTGAACTTCTAAATAGGTAGGTAAAATGCTAAGGAAAGATAATTGAAGAATATTGGTGTATGTTTTCTTTCTTCTAAATTGTTTGTTTCCTTCTGTAGTAAAGTCTTGTGGATTAATTTCCGAGGGAAGAGTATGATGCACGTCACTTAGAGTAAAAGCAGTTCTTGCATAGGGATCCAGTGGATGTCATATAGGAAAATTCTTACCAGATACAAAGAGGAAAAAGTCCTTCTTGTGAACAGTGATGGTGTTAATTTTAAAGGAGAATAAAAAGTAGAAGAAGATGAAGCCCAGAGTTCTCCTCTCCTCTAGTCTTCACTCACAGATTTCGTGGACATGTTAATAAATACCTAAGATATATTAAGGGAGGCACTGAATGCAAATGGTCCAGTTTCAGATTAGAAATTTGGAATAAAACTGGTTTACAGGCAGCTGTGAGCTAGCAGGAAACAGTTGTCTTAAGAATATAAATGGCATGTGTCATGTTTAGGGGTATCTGAAACAGCAATTACTGTATTTCCCTTCACTTTCATATGGCAACCATGTGAAACAGGGACCCTTAGGAACCTCACTGAAGGTAGTTTAAGAGAGCTGGGAGTGCTGCCCTGAACTTGCTAGGTGAGTGCCAAATTGAGAAGGACAACGATCTTAAAGCCAAGGTCTATTCACTGGATAGCCGACCTTCCTTGAAATCATTAGTAAGTTTCGGTAAAGCTACAAAGAACCAAGGTAAGGAGTGGGTCAATGACACCAGTGGGTTTTTTGGGTTTTGTTTTTTTTTTTTTTTGCTGTTATTTTATTATTAAACTTGGACAAGATACACAAGCTACAGAAGATTCAGCACTGGGTGTTATGATCTAAGGAAGTATTAAGCAGTAATAACAGTATTTCATGTTGATTTTTCCTTTTAGTGTAATGAAATTTCTAGAAGGAAAGGTTTCAATATAGGGATTCAAATTTGAGTTGATTGAATTTATTCATGGCAAGATTGTTTAAGGTTAGCAAAGGCTTTCTTTAACTCAGAGGACATGATTTAATCCTTAAACAGGGGATTATTTTATGGAAACCTCTACTTGCTATTACATACACATCAACAATGATAAAGTTGAGAACAGTACTATAAAATTTGAAAAAAAAAGGCCTTCTAATTATTGAGATTTAGTTGAACATTTTTAACACTGTTAACTATAAGAATTTAGCTTATTATAAAGTTGGTATTATATCCTTAAATGATTTGTTAAGTGGGTAAATCATCTGAAAAATCCTTAAATGAATAATGTAAGATTTTTCATCATGCCATAAGAAAAAATGAGAATTATATGCAGTTATAATGACACAACCAACCTAAGAAGCTAGAATACAATGGCTCCAACAGCTGATTCTGAATCCAGACTTCCTGGGTCAATATTCCTCCACTATCATTTATTGTTACTTAACCTCTCTAGTCCTCAGATTCCTTCTCTGTAAAGTAGAAATAATAGTAGTACAAATTCTGTCAGGATTAATTGAGAAAAAATGCAAACTATTATAGCAGTGCTTGACATACAGAAAGCATGAACTAATTTTTACTACCAATATTAATAAAAGTTGTGAACATAAAGTTAGCTATAAAATCAGTATATTGTATCAGAGTATACTTTTATAACTATTGGAACCCCTTTCACTTCATGATATAAACCCAGAAGCTCTAACTTAAAAAAGCATTGATTGTATTACTAAAGATATATGAAGGCTCACGCTTAGCTCACGGCAACATAGGAAAAAAAAATGTCAATTTTAAGGAAGCAATTCTTAGCATAAAGTGGAAACATATCTATCACACGATGGCTTGACTGTCAAGGCATATAAAGTTATTCTTCAACTCAGAATCAATCTAATAAAAATGAGTAGTAAAATAAAACACTGTATTTAATATAAACAAAGTTAGCTCTTCCCTTCCTCTTTCTCTTTTGTTTCCCTTTCCTTCCCTTCCTTTTATTTTCTTTCACATCCTGAATGATTTTATCCTAAAACCACTGATTGAATCACAGCTGTGTAGACATCTATGCTGGTGTGCGTGGGGTCAGGGAGTGGGTATGACCAATAGATCAAAACAGGGTGTTGGACCCTGAGAGTCGTGAGGAGGGTGTCCTTGTGAGGAGTAGACCAGCACAGGATGTCAGAACAAGAGAGCATAGAGGATGTTCAGATGGGTATGGATGAGAGGTTGTTAGCCTGGCATGAAACTGGATTTGAAATACGGTCCTAATGAAGTAGAGGTCTAGTGATGAGAGACAGAGCCTGAGCAGAGTAGGGTGAGTGGACACTCGTGGGAGGTGTTCTGAAATGAGGGGTGAAATTGTGTGAGCTGAGGAGGGTGTTCCCACAAAAGGAGATGGCAGCCTGACACAAAGTGTTGTAATCCAAGTAGGGTGAGGAGTCACCCACATGGCAGGAGTCACCCACATAGGGAACCTATGCAGGATGTCAGAACCCATCTGCACTGGGCAAAGGACCTTGGCAATGCTAGACTGGTTACATACAAAAAAATTATCAGATGAAGAATGTGACTGAAACTAAAGTGTATAAGATTTTTCACTGAAAAATAAGGGAGTCACAAATGTGAAAGGGGAGAACATTTTTGATATTGGATTCAAGGTTGTATTTGTGTGCATTCATGATTTTCAGTAAGTAGATAAATAGAGAAATTATTGTAGATGTAAATTTGGGGGGATAACTATATATTATCTATCATCTATCTATTTTGTTTCTACTTATAATTTTAAATAAAACACTTAAATTTAATTGTATTCAACCATATATAATCTCTTTCTACTCTTCTTTGTAGGCTAAAGACATAAATGCTAACATGTTCCTCCAGTCATGCTATTTTTAAGATATTTACTAAAGTATTGGTGTTTATTATTTCCTAGTATATTATTTGTGTGTGTTGAAATATAGTTAAAATTTTATTCAAGAAATTATTTCTTAATGTTTGATACTATTTTTGCACCAGCTAAGAAGTAACACAATACCCACTTTGATGATTTTACTACTCACTCACATTTAGAAAAAAATCAACATATTATTTAAAAATAATACAATAAACAACCTAGAAATTAACTATAAAAATGAATGGCATCTCATGAAATTTTTAAAAATGACTTGGGGTTTATGTGGGTTATTGAAATTATTAACCTATGCTTTATTTCTGCAGGTACAAATAATAGGAAAAATGCCCAAGTTTCCAGATGTTGAATATTTTTATAGGTATGCTGTTAATGTGGGGAAAGTACAGAAACTTCTTTCAGAGTTTTGGCTAAGATGACTAAAAATATAAGTATTCACAAACATAATTCAATAAGAAATAAGAATACTGAGAATGAAATTTTTCTAAGCATTGGGATAAAAATGAAAAATGAATTCTTAATTTTGTCACTTCATCAATGATTAAAATGTTCTAGGCCAAAGGAAGTCTAGTAACTCTTACACTTTGATAGCAGTTGTCCATTGCCCTAACTCCAGGTAGTTATTCAGAAAGGCTTGGAAACATTCTAAGGAACAATTTCTTGATGTAAACATGGCTGGGATTAGTGCTGCCCCAGAGGAGTCAAAGCATTATATCCTCCTATCTTAAAATCTGTGTTTTTCTCCCAATAGACATTTAAAAGTTCACCCAGGCTGGATGCCAAGAAACATCTTTATGGGGCTTATAAATGGTAGCTGGTTCCAGCCACCTGCTCTCCCTCTAACAGGCATTCCTGGACTGGAAGCTGTACAGATATGGATCTCAGTCCCACTGTGTGTCATGTACCTAACTGCCCTCCTAGGGAACGGCACCATCCTCTTTGTGATCAAAAGCACCTCCAGCCTTCATGAGCCTCAGTACATCTTTCTGTCTATGCTGGCAGCCACAGATGTCGGTCTGTCTTTATCAACTCTAGCCGCAGTACTTAGTGTCTTCCTCCTGAATCACAGAGAGACTGAGTTCCACCCTTGCCTAACGCAGATGTTCTTCATCCACACCTTCTCCTCCATGGAGTCAGCCATCCTGCTGGCCATGGCCTTTGATCGATTTGTAGCTATTTGCAACCCGCTGCACTATGCTGGGGTCTTAACTCCTCCTCTGATTACTGGGATAGGGCTTGCAGCCATGGTTAGGGGTGTGGTACTGATGGCACCTTTGCCAATTCTGCTGAAGCGATTGCCCTTCTGCAAGGATGTCACTCTATCGCACTGTTACTGCTACCACCCAGATGTTATGAAGCTGGCTTGTGGCCCTATCAGAGTCAACATCATCTATGGGTTGTCCCTTGTCCTCTGCTCCTTTGGAGTTGACTCTCTGTTCATCATCATTTCATACATTCTGATTTTAAAAACAGTGCTGGGCATTGCCTCCAAAGATGATCAGCTTAAGGCACTTAATACGTGTGTTTCCCACATTTTCACAGTCTGTATCTTTTATGTGCCACTCATTGTGCTGGGTCTAATTCATAGGTTTGGTACTTTCACATCTCCTCTTCTCCATGTCACCACGGCTAGCCTCTTCCTCTTCTTGACCCCTATCCTTAACCCCTTGGTTTATAGCCTAAAAACCAAACAGTTAAGATCTGTGGTGCACAAGATATTCAAGGGTAGGGGAAATTTGCTTAAGTAATCAAGGATGTGTTATATAAAAAGCTGAACTGATTAAAACATAGAGTAGAACAGTGGTTGACAGGAGCTAGAGGGTTGAGGAAATAGAGAAATGCTGGTCAAAGTGTGCAAACTTCTAATTATGAAATAAGTAAGCTCTGGGGATCTAATATAAAACGTGGTGATTATAGTTAACTATACTGTATTATATATTTGAAAATTGCTTAGAGTAGATTTTAAATGTTCTCACCACAAAAAAAGAAATGATAACTATGTGACATGATGGAGGTACTATCTCTACTATGATAATAATTCTGCAATATATAAGTATATCAAATAAATATTGTATACTTTACATTTACACATATTATATGTCAAATCTTAATAAACTTGAGAAATTTTTGTTTTGTTTTCAAAAAGAAGAAAAATAAGAAATATAATAGAATGAAGGGTGCAATTGGCAGACAGCAACAGGGTTATAATAAAGGAAGTTTATGTTTCTTCTTCAACAAAAAGGAATTATTAATTAGAAATTCCACATAAAATAAATTCTATCTACTCAGATAAAGTTAATGTCCAAATTTGAAGCAAAGTAAAATATGTCATGATATTATATAACTGTGGAGTGCAAGAAAAAGGGAGGTTTTACCTGGACTTTAAAAACTTCCTCCTTCAAATGGCACAGTAATCGTTACATTAGAACTCCATAGGAGAAAACTAATCCCTAGATAAGATCTGACTCTATCTGAAAGTAATGATTTTAAGTGTAAAGTCAATCTACAGATTAAGATTGAGCAAAATTCATGATATAATAGATTAGGGTTGACAGATCCTGTGAATTAAGGGTCTTGGAGAGAGTCTTGATGAGGTGACAACTGTTTGCTAGGCAAGCAAATATGCCTAGTTAACACACATACACATATCTCTTTCCCTGAGGTAAAAAAAAGGAAAAAAAAAACCACACTTCTTCAAATTCTTGTGGGTTTTTTGTTTTTTGTTTTGAGAGATGTGCTCTTGATCTACATTTAAGGGAGAGGGTACTTACGAAGAGAATTTGAACTCTTCCCTTTCTCCAAATTGCTTTAGCACCTGAGAACGGGACCTCCAATTGGAACTCAAGCAGTTATAATTCAAATCAATGATGACATACTATTGTGTTTATATCTCCTTTATGGTGAAAGCAGGATCCGTTGTCCCTTCAAAATCAGACATCAAAACCTATCAACTCCTATCTTCATTGCTGTTGCAATAGAGGTCTGTGTTTGTTTAAAGGTAACTTAAAAATGTATGTTTAACGTTTTGAAATACAGAAAACCATGAATTGTGCACTTTAAAAGGGTACTATGGTATGTGAATTTCATATTTATTCTTTAGTTAATAAGCATAAAAATTTGAAGAGTTCTTAAAAGTATATATTTATGATTGAAACTAAAATAAACTGTCTATAAAAAGGTGATACCAAGAATGATAATAATTCTGTTAGAAATGGGGAGATTTTGAGTGATTCAGACACTTTTAAATTCTCCAGGCTTCTAAATGTTATTTTTTATAATTGTCATCCAAAACTTCAGTTATGTTATTTTAAATAATTTAAATTTTCCATAATTTACATTAAAAATCTTAGGTTAAAAGTCTGTAAGCCTCTTTTATAAAGTTTCAGTTTTTCTGATAATAATAACATCAGATAGTAAAAATTATAAGTAACACTTTTGTAGTGCTTAATATGTGCCAGGAAATTTTCAAATATAAAACAAATCTGAATTTATTTTAAAGGATTATTGCAAAGGGAGGAAAGATTGATCAGTGGAGACAGAACAGTTCAGCTGATCATTTATGAGATTTTTTAAAAATGGGAATTTAAATGGTGTGTGTCTGGCCTGTCACAAGTAAAAAAGAAGGCATCATCGAAGCTTATCTATGTCATATGGGGAAATGTGGTTCCTTGGTGTAAACAGTTTCCTTAACTATTGTGTAGAGAATTGTTAACCTTTGCTGTGAGAAAATTAATAAAGGGAAATCTTGCAAAAATGCAATTGGAAGGGCAAAAGGGGAACCTCTCATGAGCATATCACTTGATGTCAATACAGATCCCAACAGGGAGAGGCATACCTTGCATCTCTGGCAGGAAGTGACACTAATTTACTATTGTTAGCAGAAGGAAGAAAAAGTTTCTCCTTACCTGACAAGAGCTCAGTCAATTAGCCACTGCTACAGCTCAGCTAATGAAAAGCCTCTGCTTCAAATTCCCAGTTTCCTCCAATGGATTTTTTGTTTACAACACCCCTCACCCCCAACTTCCCCTTCTCTATAAAAAGTTTCCTCTCTTTCGCTTTATAGAACTTGCATGTGGCTTGTCACAGTTTCATGTTCCAAACTGCAATTCTTTGCTGCTTCTGGATAGACCTATTTTGCTCATAAAATAACTGGCTGTTTTATCGTTTTAGGTTAACAGGTGTGTTCCATGGTCATAAGGCTTAGACAATACTCACTGCCACATGTACTATATTCTTTACATGTATTAATGCATTATTATTCACAAATACCCATTTTATAGATAAGCACACAAGAGCATAGTGAGGTGTTAAAGGACACCAAAGGTAAGTGGCCAAGTCTGGTGGAGCTTTGACTCCAGGCAGTCTAGCTGCAGGAGCTGAGCTTTTAATTGCTTCTCAGTGACTCTCGAAACTAAACTCAGTAAAAAACTTGGATTTATGTTCTTAACTTCTCTATAAACATGCCGTATGAACATGGACAATTCATGTCTCTGCTCAGTGTCTCATATCTACAAAATGAGAAATCTATAATGATGGTCTCTATAATCCCTTTTTGTTCTAACATTTTATGTGGGTATGCCTCTAAGAGAAGACTTGTTGATAACTGAGTTGGCATAGTTTTGTTTGTTTGTTTTTGGGGGCAGGGAGGATTTTCTTCCAACAATCTTGAGTTCACTAATTTATCCGAAACAAAACTCTCTAGCATGGTTTAAATTTTCTCTTCAAATTGATCTGGCTCAACTGTTATTCTATACACTTTCATTGTCCCAAATGTGTGACAGTGTTTTTCACATTGAGTACGATTGATAATGACATTTTGCAAGAAGGTGCTTGAAAAACAAATTTTTTACTAAAATAATAAATTGTAATCTCTTGTCCTCACACCCTTCCACTCACAGACACACACACATGCAGACACAACACTAAATCTTACTATAGATCTAGCTACTGACATTATCTGCAGAGGAAATATTTTTGCTAGAAATGATCCCATACAAAGAAAATGAGAGGACTTTTTTTTTTCTTTTTTTTTTTTTTTTTGGCCCATTTTCTTCACTTTTAGCTTGCCAACCTTATTCTCTGACGGTTTCTGAGATCTCCTAAGACATCATAAAACCTGGCCAATCCTCAAGGGAGGTGGACACACCAACAGCTTTGTAACTAAGTTTTTCCACCTGGAAAATGCACCAGCAGTGTCAACATACTGGAGCACGTGAATAAAAAATCCAACCACTATTCAGAGTCCAGGCAGATGCCACTCTTCCCAGGGGTCTTGGCCCCAAATGTGACCCAGGACTTATCTGACTAAACTTTAAGTATGAAGACCTGAAAGCAGTAAGTTATTACAGTTCAGGGGAAGTTCCTGGAAGATGGGCATAGGTTTGTTAAAGCTGGAAAGAAAGACACTCTTTTGATGGCTGAGTTTAGGGTTAAACAAACCAGTAAGATTGTTTGTTCCCTCATTTAGCTGAGCCAGATCAAGACTGTTTATCATGTTCGCCTTTACTTTGCATGTCTTCCCATCCCCTGAAGTACTGCTGAGGCTGATATACTTCCTACTCTGCTTTCTTTTCTTTCTTTTTTTTTTTTAACATCTCCATTTCCACAGGCTTCCCATTAA